AAAGGTTTTCTGTCTTTTCATACGGTGGAGGTAAACTCCTGGTTCCAGCTGCATGTCTTGGGCTCGCGCTCGGCTCAGCGACCAACCTGAAGTCCTCGGAGCCCAGCACCTCGGTGTAGTACATGACTTTACACTTGTGGGAGGAGACCTGCAGCGTGGCCAGGACGTCGTCCACTCGGGGCAGGTTGGTGGCCGAGCAGGCCGGCATGTTGTGGAACTTCCACTGGAGGATGTAGAAGCCTGGCCACCGGGTGATATGGGAACCCTGAGGGAAGGAGTCATTCACAACGTTACAGTTTATTCCTTTACTCCACCAGAGAGCATCTGTCAGATCCGTCACTGGAGCCTGAACTCTGCGTTTGTAAGCAGGAGTTTCTGGCGACGGCGAGCCCTCACCTGCACGCTCTCGCCCTCCTTGCAGGTGAGCGGGGACTCCACCATGCTGTAGTCTTGGCCCAGCGTCCAGGACTTGTCGATGAGCTGCACGTTGTTGCCCCCCGGCGAGGTGATGCCGTGGGCCCCCAGCGGGTCTTTGCGCGGCGCCTGCGGGGCCCGTTTGGAGTGGTAGATGTTGAAGACAACGTCGCCTTTGCACACGTCGAAGTCCCACGTGATGACCGAGGAGGCGTCGATGATCTCGATCAGCAGCTGGTCGGAGGAAACAGAGGTTGAAGCAAACTCTGACAGGAGCCTGGAGAAATGTTTAAATCCTCCCGGAGCGAGAGACGAGATGAACTTTATCGTCCCGAAGGAGATTCGTCGCACAAACACCACAAATACACACTGAAGTACAAAACAGCCACACACGAGTCAACAAAGTGCTTCAAAGGGTTAAAGTGTGTTTGTCTTATTTTCTACAGTTAATCCTCTGAACCCCAAAACCTGCCATCATGGAAAACCACCAGAAATGTACCTTGAACTACTCGTGTTCAGCTCCCTGAGAAAAATAAACAACTAAAATCTAAGCTGTCTGAGAAGTGCTGCTGAGTTTTATCCCAGTAGAGCTCGACAGCTCTTCTGTTATTTTACTTTCTTTCATTGGGTTTTGTCTTTTATCGTATTTTACTGGGTCTTGTGGGGTTTTCTTTCAATCGTACGGCTCTTTGGTTCACTTTTAGTTGTTTGTTTAGTTTCCTGAGAAGAAAATGAACTCAGACGGAAGCTAAAAATCCAGATCTTTCATAGAAATCACTATTTTTTCAACAAACAATTTGCACAAGACGGACTAACTTTCTTTATAGCATGTAGAGCCGCTAGTATTTTCTTTTGTTTTTGTTTTTTAATGATTGTTAATTAACGGTTTCATGAAATGAAATGAAAAATACTTTATTTATTACAGAAGGGAAATTCAATTCATAATGAATAAAAGAGATTTTTCCAGTTCTCTCTCCCTTTAGTTCTGGTTGTTCTGTTTCTATAGAGCTGCAGGACTTTATGTTGTGATGAAAAATGAACCCACGGTGAGTAAAAACGACACGGAGCAAATAAAACGACCAGAAGCTGCTTGGAGTTCAGAGGGATGAGGGAAATATGCAGTAAGTCTGTGACTGCGGGGCTTCTGCGAGCTTCAAAAATGTTCTTTTTAAACCATTAAAACCAAAAATTCTGCATTAACTCCTTCTGCTAACGAGCCTCGGCTAAATGTGCTGGAAGAAGGAGAAAGCTGTGAACATCTGCGTGAGGTTGTGGATTCGCTGACATGAAATCAGACCTTCTCCGTGAGGCCGATTACGCGTGACGCTGCATCTGTTCCTCTGCTGTAACTTATATAATCGACTCTAGCAGCGTGTCACTGCAGCCAGATTGTGTTCTGTGATCCTCGTCTGGATTCAGAAGGAATGAACGCGTCGCAGCCACTAGATGGCAGAAGGTTCAACAGAACCTCCCTCCGAGGCTCGCTGCAGCTCTCTGAAGTCCTGGCCTACATATTCATGTGAAACCACCGCAGACTTCCATGTCTTCCTTCCCCCCTCTGGCGCCCTGAGCTCGGCCTCACCTCGTGTGGAGCTCCCTTGAAGATGCTGGCGCTCTGGTAGATGGTCTCGGTCCACAGGCGGACGTCCTCGTTCTCCAGCTCCTCGGCCGTGCGGTACATGGACTTGGGGACCAGGCCGCCCTCCGGTACCTCGCACTGCGGAGGAAACGCACGCGAGCGCGCACGGAACTGGGTCAGCGAGAGGAGTTCACGTCCGCAACAAAACCCGACCGTAACCTCGGAGCACACTCACCATGCACTCTCCTCCCAGGAAGTCGGGGATGATCTCCTTGTCGATGTAATCCACCAGACCTCCGGGACCCTGGTAGTCGTTGCCCGCGTAGATCAGGAACTTCTTGCGGGTGTTTTCATCGATGAACGGACTCACCTGAGGCCAGAGGCAGTTATTAACACACCAAATGGTAAAAATGTTGTTGTAATAAGGTTGTAATAAACATCACCCTGATGACGTAGCGGCGTTACAGCGTTAAACAGGAACATGCTGTTCGACAAAACTTGACTTGTGTATTACCCAGAGCAGCAGGTGTTAAATGTTAAATGACTCGGGGCAAAACACTTGAGGCTCACGGGGCTAACAGACAGCTAACATGTTTGTAGGCAGTCGATGCTAAACAGGAGAGACTTGGTGATCGTCAGTCGATGCTGCTGTAACATTAATATTTATGATTTGAGGGCGGACCTCACATTAAAAACACTGGCACCACATTGTCAGTAAGTGTCCCCTCACCAGCGTCCAAAGGACCGGGAAGACCCTGGGCGCCCTCAGGATGAGCAGCCGCCCCAGAGTCTCGGGGTAGTTGGCCTCCACCACCTCGATGATCCTCAGCAGCGCCTTGACTCCCGGCCGCCACAGGTGGCGCATGTTCAGCCCCTCCAGGTCCACCAGGCACGTCCAGCAGCTACGGGGGAGGAAGCCGGAGGATTAGCGCGCCGACAAAGTCACAAAGACGCACAACTGGGCTGCGGCCTCTTTCTGACCACTTAACACCCGTCACCCTGCGGCGGGGCTTAAGTGGTGAAGAAGGCTAATTCTGAATCCCTCCACATCCTCGTATCTGCTCCTGCCGAGCGCCGTGACGTGACGGCCATTCATAGCTCGCATGCCTTCCTGCACGGCTCCTCCTGTTGGAGGGCTGACAGATGACAGATACCATCTCCGCTGCCTCCCTCTCACGCCGTCCTATCTGAGCGAGCCTCCTGCATTCTTTCCATTCTGAGGGAGATAGCTCTCCTCCTGCTTCGTGTTCGTGTGCACCTGAGTCCGGCTACAGCAGCTGGACTGAAACCAAACCGGCTTTATTTTTGCTTAATTTCCACTTAATTGTGTTTCTATTCACGTGCGCCACATTTAAAGCTTGTGCTATACTTCTCTAGAGCTGCAAATGATGATTATATTCATCATTATTTGTTATGTACAGGTTTATTAGACCACCTCTAACTTGTTAAACACTGTATATTTTTATATTTACAGACTATCCAGCATCATGAAGGTGCTTTAATTCACACTCAGCTCTCCACGTTTTACCTTTTACAACAGGAATGAGGAATTTCAAACTGAATTCAGCCACTAAAGCCAATGTTTCTGTTCAAGGAATGCAAACAAATAACTATAATTTGACATCTTATTCAAGAAATAATAATGTGCTTTACTGTTTTTTCAGGTTTTTTTGTAAAACAGTACATTAGAAAATACATGGAAGACAATAATAATTATATTTCAGCATTAAAATGTCATTCTGGTGTATTACCCGTTACAGTAATTAGCAATGCTGTTAATTTAGAGATAAACCTGACACTGGGTGGTGGTCTAATACATTAGTTAAGTCCTGTATTTATTTATTTGTTATCATTATTTGTTGCTGATTCTCTCCGAGACCTCTGTTAGGTGCATCTATTCAGCTGTAAGTCTGGTTCTAACTAGAACAGAGCAAAGGAAACGAGTCTCTCCGTCGTGTAGATCAGCTGTGAGTATTATTCTGAAATTAAACTGCTGCAGAGAGACGAATAACAGGTTCGCCTGCTGGTAAATGTACATTCCTGCACACTGTAAATATTTCTATTACTGTTTTATAACTTCCTCATCACCTGGATGTTTGTTCGACTCGTCACACTCGCTGTCCACTGACTTGCAACACGTGCTTTCTATCCTCCTTTAAATATCCTGAACTCGTCAGCGTTTACTGCTGACGAGGCACCAAATCATCTCTACAAATTCCTCGTCTGTAAAAAGAAAACAAACCGACCTGTCAATAAAACTGATTGTGATTTAGTCGGATTTAGATTTCCTGCAAACATGTCGTCTCAGTGTGTACGTCGTTGGTGCTTAACGTGGTCAGGAAGGAAACTGTTTAAAACTTTCATTCCTGCCTAAATCAGATCATTTTTCCCGCCCTCTACTGATCCGTGCTTCACCTGATGGGCCGGCCGAACACCTTGGTGTTCTCCTCGCAGCGCCTCAGACCCTCTTCGTTGATGGACAGCACCTGAAACCACACGAGAACACGACTGTACATTTCTGACAGCTTTGTAAACAAACGGACTACTGATGCGACTGCACACATCCTGCTGCTGACACACTTCACACCGCACCAGAAGCCGTCCTGACCTACAAACGTCGCGACTCCACGTAAACATGGAAGTTGTGTTACGTACGTGTCTGAGCAGCGACTCCTCCCCGAGAGCGCGAACCAGCCCTTTGGTGTCCATCTGGCCCAGCCTCAGGATGTACAGCGGGCGGCCGTCTAGCAGAACAAAGCAAATATTGACACGATCCATTACGCTGTTTACGCTGCACAAGGCGGCACGTTAAGTGGAAACGTCTGCATTGTTCGCCATCTGCTCTGGTGCGAGGCGCTGTAAGGCTCAGTCCCCCTCGATCCTCGTACAGATCTCAAACTAAAAGATCAAACGATGTGGGGGGGAACATGAAGCCACATTTGATTTACACGGCCGTCCTCTTCTTCTAAATGGGAACCCAAAGTGCACGCCCAAATGAGGAATGTGAGTGTTTGTGTGAGGGGAACCGAGCAGCGCCAACAAATTGAATCGTTGTTTTATTTCAGAGAGCTGCGGTTTGTGAGGAACGATGGAAATGTGTGCACACAGTCCCATTATTTAAGTCACTGAGTGAGTCTAAGACAACAGCCTTCATGAAAGACCTGTATGCATACACGTGACCTTCCAGCGTGTTTACTTGCTCTGCTAGCTTCGGGCGTGGCCGCAGATACGATCCTACCTCTGTCGTGGTGGTGCCAGCCGCCGGTGTAGTAGTCCTGCAGCACCTGCGGGGAGCTCCAGGTCTCCAGCAGGTAGTCCACCTGGTGCTGCTTCCTCCAGGTCAGGGACTGGCACAAGATCTCCCGGGCCTTGTCCATGTTGAAGTCCCGGGCCCGCAAGAAACGCAGGATGTGCTCGTCTTTGGGGATCTGAGGGGGGGAGGCATTGAGCTGAAGTTAACACAACAAACAAAACATCACGGTTGATGTCGCTGCCAGCTGGTTAATTTAAAATCTGGTTAATTAATTTAACCCCCAACAACCATAAAAACTGACCATTTAGTGCTTTTTTCATTAAATTATTACATCCCTGCTTTTAAATGTCTCAGATCTGACTCCACATTGTTGTTTCCTTCAGAAGGTGCAGATCTTAACTCATTCCTTCGTCACTCGCTGCACCTCAGCACACCAGCTCACCCACAACGCTGCTCAAACGCCGTAAAGCGACTCTACGCTACACGACGGCAGGTTTGAACCAGAAAGTTCCAACCTGCAAGCGGACAGGATCGCTGCTTTTTTTAGTTTGTTACCAATAAAACCTCGAAAAATCTGATGTTTTTGTTTCTGAGAATGTCATCAGTACATCACAGTTTCAAGACAAACTGGTCAGCTGTAGTGTTTGCTGCTCATTTTGCTCATGATGTGACTTCTAGCACAATAAAAGACACAAGCTGAGCGCGACAGCAGGTTGAAAACTTGATATATTTAAAATCTACTGCGGCTCAAACGTTCCATACTTCAGGAGACTTTTTAAAAAGCAGTGAATTAGTACAAATAAAATGTTTGCACTGTTCACTTTAAACACTCTGAGGCGCGTCTATCACTGTGCACAGAAGTTAAATGCTCCTTTCGTTTTCCTTCTGTAACCTGTTGTTCTCGTTTGGTTGCACGTTCAGGTAATCTGAGAACAAACAAAACGGCGAACGTCCTCGTACGCGTCCTCGCACTCGGTCGATAAGCGGCCCGTTACCTTTCCCTTGTGCGTCTCCTGGAGCCATTTGCGAAGTCGGATCAGGCAGCTCTCCTGCAGCGGGGTCAGGTCGCCCAGGTAACGCTTGATGTAATCTGCATCCAGTTTATCTGCAACACGCGTAAAAACTCCCATCAACACTCAGACTGAACCACTGTGGTGACCTGGAATGTCCAATAAACCTTCAATGGAAATACAACTAGAAACACTTTTCATTTGTTTCTCTTTGCACAAAGTTTTCATCAGTTGTGTCAAATATAATCTCTTCTATAAAAGCTTGCAGGCAACACAAAGCTCTGAAGTCAATGAATAAATCTAAACATAAAGTCTTGTTTTAGTATTTTAACCCCTCTGTAGATTTGAAAGAATAAATCACCAAAATTACAGCATTTGTTAGACCCAGAATTTGTACCAACAGAAAGAATCATCAGGTTCAAAGACAAAAAATCCTTTATCATGAGTGCAAATAAAAAGTTTCCTTCGAACAATAACCGTCTAGAACCTGAGCTACAACAAAAGCTTCATATCCTTCAATTATTTTATAATAAATTCTCTTTTTTTTTGTATTGCAATACGATCTGGACGTTTGTCAGCACTATTCTCACAACCAATCTGTTGATTTATTTCAAGGAACTCAACTTCTGACTGATATAAACAAGAAACATGCACTTCTTGAAACAGTTCAGTTCAAGAACGGCAATAATTGAGAGCCTTTCAGTGAGATAATCAGAGAAATGAGTTCCACTTTCCCAAACCTCGTGTCAGTTTCTTCTATATGCAAACTCCATGTGCATTTAGGCAGCAATAAATAATCATCTTTTCTGGGTTTTTATCTCCTAGCAGGTTCATTTTGTTATTTTTTGTTGTGTTTGATTTGTACGAATGCAAAATAAGCTCAACTATGGATGTCTTTCGACACTTTAACTGCTTTTTGCAAGTAAAATAAGCATCTAAGCGTTTTCCGGTCGAGCGTAGGAGCAGACCTTCAGGTGTGCCGGCCAGGATCTCAGTCAGACTCTCTGTCTGGACAACGCTGGCGTCCTGCTTGGCGTCCGGTGAAGCGCCGTCTTTGGCGTCGGCGGCCGGCGGGATGGAAACGGCGGGCGTGACGGCGAGTTTGGGGAGAACCGGTGGGCTGGAGAGGCTGGTGGGTCTGGGCAGGGGCAGGGAGAGCGACGACGGGGTCCAGCGGGGCACGTGAGTGATGCCCTCGTCCTCCAGCTCCTTCAGGTAGTACTCGATGATCTCCTTTCCCTGTCAAGTGAAGAAACACATCATCTCTTCACGCGTGACCTTTTCAAAGCGAGCAAGGCGAAGGCCCGGCGTATTCAGGTAGGATTCATACCGCGCAAGGTAACGGCAACAGAGGAGGAGAAGAAATGAAACGCATCAAAACTGAGAGCAGATGACTCACTGGGTGCCCAGCTGAAGCCCCCTGTCCAGTCTGAGGGATTATACAAGCTTATTATGTAATTACAGCCTGAGATGAACTGACTCATGCTTCAAAAAACCATCAAACCTCGTACAATAGATTGATCTCGATTCTGCTCTGATTACATCACTGTGAACTTTTCCGTGCACGCTGAGGCGCCTCGGCAGCGATCACACGGAGCAGCGGCGACGGCGACGCACCTTTTTGATGCTGCTGGCGTACTGCTTCATGGCAATCTTCTCCACGTTGCTCTCAAAGCCGAAGAAGGACTTGATGTCCAGGCTGGCGGTCTGCTCGAAACACGTCCAGTCCTCGTTCTCCGGGTGGACCTGTGCCAAACACAAACACACACACTTTGTAGTATACTGTACACACACACACACGCATGCAAGAGGCAGGATGTTACTATGGCAACCACACACCCAGCTAGCTTCGCTGGGTGATGACGCACGCGAAGGAGTTCTCACGCTGTGTGCGCCGCGAGTGGGAGTGTGTGTGTCAGTCTGGCCGCCGCGTAAAATTAGCAGGTTTTATCCACACATGAACCAGAAACAGAACGCAAACACATGAACAAGGCAACGTGAGGAAATTTTAAAAAGAAAACATTAATGCAAAACTGAAGAAATGGTCAGGATCAGCTGGTCGGCATCCTGCACAATTATTTTATTTTATGTTCTGGATCTTTCTGCTCCTGTCACCTCTACAGCAGCAGCACGACCCGCTATGAGTAGAAAGGCTTAAAAAGCTCTTTTTGCTGTTTGACAATTCCATAAAAATAAAATAAAATTGAAGGTTACATTTCTTTAATTATTCATTAAAACCTGGAATCAACATCCGTCCATCATCTCTACACCTTAATCCTCACTAGGGTCATGGGGGGCTGGAGTCTATCCCAGCTGACTCAGGGTGAAGGTTCACCTGGACAGGTAACCAGTCTATCACAGGGCTACACTTAGAGACAGACAACCAAGCACACTCACATTCACACCTACGGACAATTTACAATCACCAATTAACCTCAGCATGTTTCTGGACTGTGGGAGGAAGCCGGAGAACCCGGAGAGAACCCACGCTGCACGGGGAGAACATGGAGACTCCACAGAAAGATCCCGGGCTGCTTTCTGTTGCACTGGTAGTTCAGTTACACTCGACTACCAACATACTCCAGCTTCAGCCGGGTCCTGCAGCTCGGCCTCACTGTGCCGTCCGTCCTGGTTACAGCTAGCGTAGCATGCTAACGCACACAATAAGAAGCAGCCTTGGACCTAAAATTAGCGCGCTAGTTGGTTGGAGGCTAATGCAACATGCTTGACCTCATTAACTCAGAGCTCATCCATTCATGACCGGGCAGATCCGTGGTCAGGGCTGAGCGTGAGCAGCGAAGACGCGGGGTGAGAGACAAGGCGAGAAGCGCTGCTTTCAGATCAGTGTTTGTGAGCGTTCAGCCAGAATGCAGAGGGCTGAATAATGCAGGATGGGCAGAGATAACTAGCAACGGAGCTGGTCTAAACATGGCTCTCTCTGCAGGGAGGCAGTGGACAGATTAAAGCAGGAACAAACAGTGACATGGGTGTGCTGGCGGCAGCTGAACGACAGCTTTACAAAACGTTTGCTCATTTCTCTGCATTCGTAGCCGACTAAATGGGTCGAGCATGTCACAAACAGCTGGGGTCGGGGTTTGATTTCTCTTGCGCTAAAACCTGAGCTAAGAATATACACGGTCCAGCAGTACGAGCTGCTCCTAGGCTTCCTACTGACCGAGTAGCAGCAGGTCTCGTGGATGATGACCCTGTTGGAGAAGGTCTCATTGTGGGACTCGATGTGCAGCGTCCTCTCCTTTCGGTTCAGCTTGTTTTTCTGGATGAAGTAGACGTAGTCCACGCCGGCAATCTGAGGACGAAACACAACAAGTCACGTTACAGGAAACGAAACCGACATGAGACACAAACGACAGGGAAAACTGTGGATTTTCAACTTTCCAGCAATCAGTGAAACTAATCGTGTGTTACTGAAACAACCAAAACTAAGCTACAATCAGAATATTTCATCAATGTCTCCTTTTAAAACTGCTTTCTCAAACCAGATCCTGTCAAAACAATAAAGTACAACCTGCTCTCTTTAGCTCAACCATGAAGCCTTCAGTGACTCAGCTGTGACCGACACACAAAAATGTCGGGACTTTTCAGCTGCACTGCAGGTTGTTTACACTGAGCTGATAGGAGACGTGCAGGAAAACAAACTAAAAATGAAAGTAGTGAATTATCTGCAGCGTTTAGAGCCACCAGTGTTCTAGTATCAGTGACACCTGTGGGCCTTTGTACGTGTTGATCCCAAGTTTCTTCCAATTATTATCAGTCAAATACTTAAAGAGTTTCACTTTGTCTTTTTAAGATTTAAAGCTTTAGGGCTTTGTTACGCTGCACAGAAGAGATTTTCCGACTGAACAACAACAGCTTCTGTTTGCTTTTCACTGCAGGAACTCGGTGTAGGCACAAGGTGGTGCGACAGAATGACAGAACCTGACCTCTGATCGGTCTTTACGTTCTTTCTGTTTCCATTGCAGCGTAGAATCCGACAGCTCTGACGTTAATTCTGACATAGCTACCCGACAGAACTAGTTCTAAGAGCACGTAGGGAACTCTACTTGTGCAGCACATGCAGAAAAACTGAAATGCCGTTTCTCAGCATCCAACAGTGCACAAAAAAGAAAAATATACATAAAGTGTCCAGTAGAAGCGTCTACACCCTGGCGTAGCTTCTTTTTTCTGCTCCTAAGTTTCTGCAGTGAAAAACGGCTTCATCGAGGACCGTTCTTATGATGCGCATTAGCTGAAGGTCTGAAGTAGGAGATACCCTTTTGAGGAGGCGTGGAGCGTCGACGTCCAGAGCACAGCGGCGCTCGATCTTGTGGGTGGCGCCGTCCTCGCTGGTCTCCTCGTCCACCACATCGCTCGCCACAAACATGGGGATGAGGTGGCAGGTGGGGAAGCGGCGCTCGTAGGCCTGAAACACAGAAAGAGGAACTCAGTTGGCCTTCAATGCTCTCGTTCACAGACTGGGAAAGATATCTTTGGGTTTCGAGTTTCGTTCCAGAGAACGAGGCAGGAAAAAAAAACGGCGATTCCCTGAACGCTGTTGTCATCGCTGTGCATGACAGCAAACATGATATCTGTGTTTGAGCTTCATTAGAGCAGAATACACCTTATTGTACGCTGCCTTTGGCTGACGGAGGCAAACATGTTCCATCTCTTTTCTTTCTTTAAACCAGGAATGCAGATTTTTGTTTTTTTACTTAATGAGAAAATGTTCAGCTGCAGGGAGTTACGTAACTTATTTAAACTGCTTCCTTAACATCTTGTTTAGGTCTCAAGGATTTTCAGCACGCTGCCCGTGTCCGTCTCAGTGAACATTACTTAAAGGCTCGGGATGAATTCGGTTACAATGGGTCTTGTATTGCCGGCTTAGAGGAAAAAAATCCATCTGAAAACACTTCACGTATTCTTCAAGAATAGAGGCACTGAGCTGCGAGGGTCTGGAGAATTTAAATAGGTGGGCAGAGGGGAGCTCTGTGCCGTGAACGGCCAAACAAAAAGCTGCTTCAGCTTCGCACCGGTTTCCAAACCTCTCACTCTGAGCCACGTCGGAGGATGGCCAAAAAAAAAAAAAGAAACCTCCACTGAAACACTCTTTAATTGCTTTCCAACAAAGGGCTCTGCACACAATGGCAGGCTGAGCGGCCGCGAGCGTCTCCAAAATATGTGTACTCATGAAGGCAAAACACGAGCAGAGGTCAGTCGGCTGTTATGCAACTTGCAGCAGCACCCGTTTCTTCCCTTTCTATCGCCACCATTCTCCTATCTTGGATCGCGTCGGTGCGGTTGCATAAGTAGCACGTATAAACAGCAGACTGGGAGTCATCGGGGAGTTGAGTGATTTTCACGATAAAGTAAGCTGGAAATGTCTGGAGTTAGTCATAACACCGAGCTAGTCATGTATCCTCCCAACAAGGTATTTCCTCTTTCAGAGGAACTCCATCCTGACGTTTAACTCTCTGGTACATTAATGAAAGCATGTATGAAGATGTTCGAGGTTGAAAAGGCAAAGAAACGACATGAAGAAAGACAAAGCAAAGCACAAGGATGTGGGGAATGTGGTGGCACAATCCTATCAGCTGCAAGTTTGTCATTTAATCAGCGGGGACATAGAACTGACATGTGCCGATGGAGCAGATATACGGAGGCTGCTTCGGAGTAACCGGGCACGGGCGGGGATTTAAATCTGAAAGTGACGGACCGTTTGAGGTCAAGTGAAAGAGCAAGCACGGGACTTGTGGGGTCGGCTGAGTTGGCGTCAGCTGAATCTCCTCCATAAAAGAAGCTGTGTTCTGCGACGCGTCGGACAACCCGTACATCTCTAAAAACCGTGAAAACAGAAGATCAGTGTGAAATCCGACGGAGCCCAAAATTCAACAAAGACGAACAGAAAGCTCAAACAAAGTGCTTCAGGGCGAGTCTGGCCGCTCCGTCTTGGTAGGACGCCCGAGCAGCTCTAAAAACACCAGGTCTCTGTCTGAATGAACGAGGACAAAACTGTAATTTCTTGTCATGTGCAGCTCATTTTCTTGTCGCTGTGCTCAGAAAAAGTTGATTTCTACATCTAGTTTGGACAAAAGTGCCTTGTTCAAAGCGTTTTCAGACAAAGGAAGGAGTACACGTGTAGGTTTAGACTGTTCAGTATGTGGAGCAGCAGCAGACTGGGCGGTCAGTGGGGTTCAGCAGCTCCTGGCATACCGCTGCCAGGGCTGCAGATCCACTCAGCTGCCCACTGTCAACTGACCGAGTGAATGCTGAGCTCTGTTTTTCAGGCCCGACGCTCTGGAACACTGGGCGTACGGCTTTGTCCTGCCGTCAGCACAACGGCGCTGACGGTAAACATCGGTTTGGCCCGTTTAAAAACAACCGTATGTCGACAACAAACCCGACCACAAAACGCCACGCGCCTCCAAAAGCACCGCTGCTTGTTTTCTGCCCGACAAAAGGCTCACAAAAGTTTACCCTGCGACAGACAGCAAACTACTAAGAGGAACAAAACTGAACAAACTGCCTGTGGGGCTCTGAAAATAGCCAGACTGTATTAGTATCAAAAACAGGAAAGAGGGAGGTCATGATAGCAGGTTATTCCTGAAAACGGGGGGATGTGAGGGAACGCTGCTCGCCTACAGTGCTGCTGGAAAACAACAACAAAAAATGGCCACATCTGACTGGCTAACGCTCTGGAGCATTAAATCAGTGTTGTATTGAAAACTCTCAACATGATGGTGGAATTTAAATGTGAAACAACTGCAGGATTAAAGTTTGGGAATTAGTTATTAAAACACAATATTTGGCAAATCCCTCTGGTACCACATATGGAGCTAAAGATGGCGGCGAAGTGGAAAACTATACCAAACATGTTCCATCACTCAGCATAATTTCAATCCAAACATGAGGATCTCACCTACATTCACCTCCTCTGGCGTACAAAACCTCCGGCGGTCATGTTATGAAGTGTTCTGCAGACACGACTTAAAAATACACAGCAAGTGTGCCAACACCGAGTACATATTCAGGTCATTTGGTATTTATCCAGATAATTACTTAAGTCTACGCTGACCTACAATTTACTGCTGGCAAACTGCGTGGAAGTGTGTAACACTCGCACTATTCTGTCAAGACATCTTTTCACTATCATCTGCTCCTCCCTGCTGTTGAAGAGTCGGAGAGCTTTTTGTTGAATACGCTGAACTCAGCAATAAATAACGTATGAAAACACAACTGTTCTCAATATAAAAGCGATCAATAAGGTGTACACTTGACACCCGCGCTACTCCATTCACCAGACGTCCATGTCAGTGTGCCGTAAGCAGCCGGTTAGCAAAGCGCTCCGTGGTCATTCAGTGGAATATCGAGGAGGCACCGATGACACATGAACCCACATCGACATGGCAACCAAGCTCCACCTCGGTAAACATTCATCTGTCCGTTACCGCAACTCTTTCCTGGAATGCATTAACACACACACACAATAGACAGAAGAAGAAGAAAAACCTAACAAACCAAAAAGCTTTCAAGTTTCCAGATTAGCTCAAACACCAAGCCGGCTACAACATCATCCCCCGGTCTCCATGGTGACGGGTTATGTTCGGACACACCTCAGCTGGCCAAGCTGTGAGTAACGGCGTCTGGAATTTGGCTGGAGACTTTATGTGCTTTCCAGGGGCGACCGAGAGAAAATACAAAAACAATACACGGTTACTTAATTCCTTCCTGCATGCACAGAAACCAGTTTCCCCCGTTGGGCAAAAAGCAATCTGTGGACAAGGGCACTGGGATGAAAAATAAGATCTGCTCTGCTCAGGAAGGGAGACTCAGGATATCCAGGAGCTCCGAGGGGATACACAATCCCCTTTAAGGCTACAAAGGGCTGCACGGTGCATGTATACGTGGGTAACCGAGCAAGAAAACAAGAGGCGCTGGCAGGCGGCCCAGCTATTATCTGGCCTCAAGTTATGGCACAAAAAAAACACACAAGAATGTAAGCATAGCTGCACGCACAGTCCAAACACATCCAGGACGCAGAGCTCTTAAGTTGATAGTCAACTGATTAGCCAGTTATGAAAATAATTTAATTGCTTACGGCATTATGGGAGGAGAAGGGTCAAATCTGGTGAGTCTGTTTTACATGAGGGATGTTACGAGTCGATATACCAGAACTACTGACGAACACGGCACAGACGGGTTGATCTGCCATGTTGGTTGTCCGGTGCTGATCTGATCCGATGTGCGAGCTGCAAAACTTCAGTGAGTTAAAACTGCTTGGAGGGTTACGCAACACCAGTCAACACAACTTTATATAAATCAATCCGGAAACTATTCAATCCAAACAACAACAAAAACGAGTGGGTGTGAGTTACTATTAGGCGTGGTGCAAGCTGACCCAGTTTTGCTCCTAAGATGTGAGCGGGAATGCAGCCTGGAACAGTCGCTTTGACAGTTATGGAGAGTCGTATTGTTCAGCCGCAACATTTCCAAAGTACAACACAAAATAGTTGTGAAGTAGGAGACTCCCTCGCCCAAAGGCAGAGCTGTCCAAACACCTCTGATGCAACGTTCCTGTTCATTTACAGCTGTTCCTCAGAAGAACAGGGACATTCAAGTCGCAGCAGGCATGAACCAACTCGGCCTTAAACGTTCTGATGTTATCACGTTGTGCGCAGCTTTCACATGAACTTCAGCTCAAGGACAAAACAACACCCAGAGCTACTCGGTTGTTGAAAAGCGTCCTGCCCGATCCACTTCTCAGATAAAGCTATTTGCTCATCTAGTCAGTCCTGAAAGCGAGACAAGGGTCAATCTGCAACGGCTCAGACAGAAAAAAGTCCTCGGCCTGCAGGTCTCCCAGGACCGACGCTAGCGAGAGAACACTTCCAACTTCCTCGGCAGCGGCGTCACATTTCTGGAGCTTATGAAAATGGTTGTGTAATCGAGACGCCAGCCGCCGAGAGGTCAGCCTCGGCTATTTTTAACGGCCGGCTGGGAAAATGGGAACATTTTGGTCGGGGGCACTTTTGAGATTAAGATGCTTGATGAGGACAGCTTAGACATGATGTCAAAACACACCAGCAAACACTGAACACAGAAGCTGGGACGCAGCGGCCTCAGGAAACTCATGAGAACACGACGTTGTTAAAGAAACACTCGGACGTATTCTATTCATAGGTGCGTTCCGGTTTATACGTAGAAAACTGTTCCTTTGTTTCCTGTTATAGCAAACAGGGCAGGATGACTTACACGGAGAACATAATAAAAATCCTAGCCTGTGTCACTCTGTGCTTCCTGAGACACTGAAACTTTCCAATCTCTTCAGTAACTGATAATAAAGGCTGCTATCAACAGGCCACAACACTGGGAGCGCTGCGACATTTCAGGCTTTCTCTGAATCTGCTCTCGGGTGTTTCCTCTGAA